TCCGGATGTTTTTTTCCCCTCTCCCGTTTCCCGGTTATGGCAGATCTCCCTAGGGAAGGGGACTTGCTCTGTGATGCCCCGTGACCGGGCCGTCGAGCTGGAGTGTGCCCGGTGCCGTACGGAGACAGGGAGGGACGGGCTGTCACGTTGGTCGTTGATCGTAACACTTCAGGTCAAACTCAATTACCTGTTCAGAGTAAACTATAAACAGTGATCCCTAAGTAATCCGAGGGAATGGAAGTCTTCTGAGTCTGCTGCCTCGAGGAAGAGCTACTTGAAAAGCATCTCGGTCAAATTGTGTATTATTGTAGATACAGGAAAGAATCGCGATTTGGTTTAAGTTTAAAACCATAACCCAGTGTAACTTTCCAGGCAATTAATAATTAGAAATTAAATATATAATTTTTATGGGCTGGTCTTTAAGTGTTATAAAATTGATGCTAAAGTTCTTGCCTTGCACAAAGAAACGGAAAACCACCAGTAGTTTCAGCTTTTCTGCATTGTTGTACACTTTATAATTCAAATCAGTCCAGAGTATGTGTGCAGGCTTAGATTCATCTTAAGAAGTTTAGCATTAACTCTGTTCCAAGTCAGATCTCTCTGCTCACAGGATAACTTGAGACTTTGCAGATGCTCTCTTCTTCTGGATGCTTTTTCTAAGACTGAGACAACTTTGACTTTTCTGTCCTAAGGATACGGCCTTTTGACTAAAAGACGATCACTGCACGAGACATTCTGTAAAGTAACTTCAATTGTTACTTAGGAACAGTGTGTGGCCCACTGTATGGCCCAAAAGTGACCCCTGAGTTAAAACTATCTTGGGTATTGTATCTCTCAAATACCAAGCTAGGGGAGAAGCTATTGGGAAATAAAAGTTCATGTGTATTGATAAACTCGTGCAAAACAGTGGCAAGGTTTTTTTTGTGCTGTCTACTCTGTAAAAGGAGAAGACTCTTGACATTTTTTCTTCTATTTTCAGACTATATTGTACTTATACAGAGGTTCAGCTAGTAAGGTGTGTTTGGAACATATAAAAATTTAACTTGAAAAACCCCAACAAATCTTTGTCCTTTACTGGAACTTTAAACATATAAATTATGTGTCCAAATTCTATTTTACTTGAGCTTTTCCCAGTGTTCTTTGTATCTGTGTGTTCACTTTGTCTTTTAACTAATTTCCTTACAGTAAAATTTCTTGAAGTAATCAAGCCCTTCTGTGTTATCTTGCCTGAAATCCAAAAGCCAGAACGGAAGGTAAGTTAATAAAATTCTCTTCATTTGTGTAGTACAAGAAGTTTGCAGCTTACTTGCTGTTTGTGGGATTTGGGGTTTTTTCCTCATTGTGAGAATGGCAGTTTTGGGCACATTTGTTTTTAGCAGAGTGCTTGTCTAGTGCATCCTGTACTCTGGATATGGTTGTACAAGAATATATTTGCTGGTAAATGCAGTTGTGCTGATATGGTTATGCCATAGCTGTGAGTGGTGAGATGTTGAGAGGAGTACATATTAGAGTGTAAACTAGAGTACTTCAAAAGCACAACTTAAAAATAATCTTTGCTTCTTAAGTTCTAATCTTAAGATTATTTGCCAAGATAAACTTCTCTGTTTGGTCTTTTTTTTTTCCCCCCACACCAGAAGCTCTTTCTTGTGAACATGTAAGACTTGTTTCTGTGGAAGTACTAGAATTACCTTCCACTCCTGCAAGCTTGTTTGTTTGGATTAAAGTTTCAGTAAAGCTTTGTCATTTTCTTTGGCTTTATATAGTATAAAAGGGATGAAGAATTAGTTATTTTCTTTAAGATGTCCTGTGCTTTGTCCCTTCACAAAAAGATCAAATGTGCTTTAGCTACTATGAAAGTTTGCCTGGTTGACTAGGTCTTATTATCTTGACAGCTTTATCATCTTTGCTTGTTGTTATGGTTTTGTTTTTTCCCCTTTTAGATTCAGTTTAAGGAGAAGGTACTATGGACAGCTATCACACTCTTCATCTTTTTAGTATGCTGCCAGGTATGGTTCTTTCCCTTGTTTTTAAGGAAGAGCTGAAACGTTTAAAGGATGTTGTAAAGACTCTAATTTAATCCTGTTTTTCTCTGTGGGTTGGAAATGCAGATTCCCTTATTTGGTATCATGTCATCAGACTCAGCAGATCCTTTCTACTGGATGAGAGTGATTTTGGCATCAAATAGAGGTATGGTCAGTCATTCAGGAGCAAGTTTTTTTAGCTTGGATCAAAACACTTTTGGACTTATTCTTCCATTGCACTCTATTTTAGCAAAGGTTAAAACTGAAGTAAAGAGGGAAAAGTCATTTTATATGTATTATATAAAATCATAAACCATTGTGGCACTGGGAAAGGCACAACCTTGTGGACAGAATGAGTTTATGGTTGGCTGTGTGCTGTCTGTTATATGTACAAAAATTAAGGAGCATTTTGGAGGGAATAGGTTTAGGGAAGAGACAGTCCTTAATTACCTGTGTCACTGCTGTTACAATCTTCTACATATATGTCAAGCTTTATGATTCGTATTTCAAACCTTGTTATATGTGTTGTGGTTTTCTGTGTGACATCTTTGAGTCTGTCTCACAGAAGATGAAAATTCATTATGGTGTTTATCAATTTCAGTTTCTCGTAGAGGCTTTCTAACACAGGTATGAATTCAGAGTGGTGACAGTTTCCTGAATTCACTTTGTCATTATATATTATTTGGACTGTCTTGTCAGTTTATATCACAATGGGATGGGCATATATGTGTGCATGAAACTTGGTGCACTCCTGAAAAAATAAAGTTAGGAATAATAAAGTGACTGATTGTCAGAGGCAGAAAGCAAATTGCTACCTGGTTTTATGCAGGGTATGTCTGTTCCTGAAAGCAAAAGTCTTTTTCAGTGAACATAGTTTTTAAGCTGCTGAGAAGTACTGCATTGCTCACCAGATTGACTTTTAACAAGCTTCTGCTATCATTGGAACCTTTTACATTTATGGAGATTTGGAGTTTTACATCTTCTCGATCATGATGTAAGGGGTGGAAAAAACAAACTTTGAACTTCAGAGGTGCCTGGGTATTGTACACCCCGTTACTTTCTTTCATTGTTCTTCTTGTGTCTGCCAGGTACATTGATGGAGCTGGGTATTTCACCTATTGTTACTTCTGGGCTCATCATGCAGCTCTTGGCAGGTGCCAAGATAATTGAAGTTGGTGACACCCCAAAGGACAGAGCTCTCTTCAATGGAGCACAGAAACGTAAGTCACAGCTGATATGAAAGGCTGATGTTCTAGAGTGTCTGGCCTTCACAACAGGAAGTGGAAACTTACCGTGTGATGAATGCTGGAGTCAGATATATCAGTTTCTGTCACACTGCGTGTTCATGTTGTGCTACAGATTTCTGTGTTTCATTAGTCTTTTACTGACTGCTCTCTGGCTTGTTAGCTGTCAAGCTTCAGAAAGGTTTGTGAAGGAAAAATATCTGCAGTTGGCATTGCTGCTGTAATATCTTCAGATGAACCAAGCAGTATGTAGACTTTGGGGACCCAGCCTTTGAACTGTCTTGGTCAGTGTTAACCTGAAAAAGTTAATATTGATTAAGGTGTTTGTTGCACTTGTTTTTACCTTGGAGTTCCAAGCATGGTTCTTTCTCAGCAATAAGAGATCTCTGTGCTCATTTGATAAATGGCTTTTAGAAAAATTTGAGTATTCTTTAGCTGTGTTGTGCTGTACAACACTACTTACTGATCTGTTTTTACTGGGAAAAAAAAGAATCATGAATTGCTAAGGTAATATCTTAACACCCTCAAAGTTTTCAATATCTGAAGCATCTTTGGTAATCAAACCCACTTGCTTCTAAGTGTATTTGTTTCTGAAGTGTCTGTGTGTATTGTGTTTTCAGTGCCAAGATTTCAAACTTAACTTGCACTTTAATTTAAACATCTCGTGACTTATGTATTCTTTCCCAACTTTCTCTACCAAGATGTGATTTATATTTCCCTAATTGCCCCCTGATGTGAATCTCCAGAACAAATACATACCTTTTTTTTTTTTTTTTTTTCATTCTCCAGTGTTTGGAATGATCATTACCATTGGACAGTCTATTGTCTATGTAATGACTGGAATGTATGGAGACCCATCTGAGATGGGTGCTGGTATCTGCCTGCTTATCACAATTCAGGTAATTTCTAGTCCTCTGTACTTGTTCTTCCTCTGAAAGAATAAAAAAAATCAGGCTTATGGACTGCCTGCCACACAGACAGGGAAAAAAGATCAAAGTGTACCTGCTTCCTCATATGTATGGGTTAATTTTTTAACAAAAATTAAGAAAGGATGGGACTAATGCTGTATTTTTTTCTTTTTTTTTCTTTTTTTAAATTACTGTAGCTTTTTGTTGCTGGGTTGATAGTTCTGCTGTTGGATGAGCTCCTACAGAAAGGATATGGTCTTGGTTCTGGCATCTCTCTCTTCATTGCTACCAATATCTGTGAGACTATTGTGTGGAAGGCGTTCAGCCCCACCACGGTGAACACGGGGCGAGGTAATGTAGCATAGTCCATTTTCTTTACTTGCATTAGGATTGAGTTATTTATCAAATGAAACATGAAAACCCAAGTAGCTTCCCCCTCCCATAATCTTTTAAAATTCCAACTCTTTACATTCTTATATGGAATAGTACAATGATAAAATATAAAAAGTCAGTTGTAGAAAAGTCTTAATTTTGTACAAAAAAGCAGTATGCTAACTTAAATGGCAAATGCTGTTACTAGCATCTTAGCTGTGTAACTGCCATATGGTGAATCTTGTTAATACACCAAGTGCAAAGACATTTCTTTTTAATTTTATAGTATCTTACAAGATATTTCCTCAACTTGATTTTTTTAACAGTGCCTCCATTAAAACTCGATAATGACAGACTGCTGTTGTGTAACATCTGCTGCCCAACTGACTGACAAATACCATCTAATTCTTTCTGCTCCTTGCCCCAAAGACCTTATTCTCCAAACCTGACAGGAGGTGATCTTGTTTGGTGCTGTGTAGTAGAAAACATAAGTGAGGTTATCATGTTTGCTGTAATACAAACAATAACTAGTGCCTCACCATGAATGATACTAAAAATCATGCTGCCTCCCTCATTTAATTTAATTTTATTAAATTGGGTAAGAACTTGGTGAATGTCAATGTCTCTAGAAACCAATAGCGTTATCCCATTTGATTGTTGGGTTGAGATTTAGTGTCCAGGATGCTACAGGGTAATTTGAAAAAAATCTTAGAAGTAACATAGCTGATACAAAGGATGACAGTAGTAAAACGATTTAGTGTCCAGGATGCTACAGGGTAATTTAAAAAAATCTTAGAAGTAATGTAGCTAAGATACGAAGGATGAGACAGTAGTAAAAGTCTGAGTCTGTGCTTAAGAGTTGGAGACATCCCATTCTGGATCCTGTAGCTCAGAAGGAGAGACAAAGCTCTGAAGTTTGTAGATAATCACAGCATACCTGACTTGGTTTTTCTTTTCCTTTCCAAGGCATGGAATTTGAAGGAGCCATCATTGCTCTGTTCCATCTTCTGGCTACTCGTACGGACAAAGTCAGAGCTCTTCGTGAGGCCTTTTACCGTCAGAATCTCCCCAACCTTATGAACCTGATTGCCACCATCTTTGTCTTTGCTATTGTAATTTATTTCCAGGTCAGTGGGAATAAAGAGGGCTATGAAACTGTTTGTATGGAAGTAGATCTGTAATCTGCTTCCTTCTACATGAAACTATGTTTTCACTTTCTAGTGCCTTCAGAAGACTTATTTTTGTACCTACAACATCTGGATGTTTGTCTAACACTAGCTTCTCTTAATCGGTTTCCACACTTACTGTAGCCACACAAAAGACTTGAGTCCTACTCTGGCCTCTGAAAAAAAAAACCCAGCTAAATGTGTGCATGTAATATTGCTTTTTGCTGGAAAATACTTTAAGCCTGTATGTCTCTTACTGTTTGGTGCAGCAAACTGCTGAAGAATATAGAAAGTTTTAATGTTCTTTTCCTGGACACTATGTTCAGTCTTCTTGAAACTTCAGATTTCTTCTGATGTCTTTGTCTTTCATACTTTCTTATATGTGTGAGTTTAAACAACCCTGCAGGCTTCCAGGCCCTTTGCAGCAATGTTTGCATGAATAACCCTCTGAGTAGAGTATATGTACTTGCAGAAAGTGATTGCAGATTTTTTTCTGTTGCTGTCCAGGCCTTGCACTTGTAATTTATGACCTGTGGTATGTGTTCATGTCCAGATGTAATGAGGAACTTTCTTCTGAAAACTTTTCAGGGCTTCAGAGTGGATCTTCCTATCAAATCTGCTCGCTACCGTGGCCAGTACAACACCTACCCTATCAAGCTGTTCTACACTTCCAACATTCCCATTATTCTTCAGTCTGCCCTGGTGTCAAACTTGTACGTCATCTCCCAGATGCTTTCTGCTCGCTTCAGTGGCAACTTACTGGTTAGCCTGCTGGGCACTTGGTCTGTGAGTATTCCTGCTAATCTTGCATACAGCTTTATAAAAGCACCATTAAAATGCATGGTTGAAGAGATGGTGTCTCTAAATATTAAGGCATGCTTCTACAGGTGGTCATGTACACTGAGACTCCTAAAGTAGTAATTTGTTTAAATTAATGGTAGGGCATGAGACCTGCTGTGATGATTGTAGATGTTAAGTTTCCGTTTACCTTTTACCTTGGGCTGTTCTTTGCTGTCCTAGATATCTTTGCTGTTCCTTATTGTATTCTATGTGATAGTAAAGTTGAATCTTTGTGTGATGCTATAGTGGTAATGATACACATACATAAACCCAGGCTTAGCTTAATGGCTAAGAAATAGTGAGAAAGTTGGTGACTGCTTGCTTCCTTCTTCTAGGACACGTCATCTGGAGGCCCTGCTCGTGCTTATCCAGTTGGTGGGCTTTGTTATTATCTGTCACCTCCAGAGTCCTTTTCTTCAGTGTTAGAAGACCCTGTACATGCAGTTGTTTATATTGTGTTTATGTTGGGCTCCTGTGCTTTCTTCTCTAAGACGTGGATTGAAGTCTCTGGCTCCTCTGCCAAAGATGTAAGTTTAAAATGATAAGTTATGTGAGCTTACATGATGAAAACAGATGGGCTGTTGCAAGAGTAAGATTGACTTTCTTCTGAAATAGCCATCATGCTGGTAATCTTGTTGGTAATATTTATTGTTTGAATAAACAGGGACTATGTCTTTATTGTAAGTGGGGAGGATAGGGGTAGAATGGAGGTCACATTTTCCCTGTTTACTTACTGCCTTTTCAAAAACAACAACAGCAAAACTCAAATAATTGCTGTCATTGGCATTAGGAAACTGAACATTGCTGTGTCATATCTGATCAGTGTAAGGGCAGGCAAGGTGACAGGAGGTAGAAACGCTTTCAGTGCCACATGACAGATGCACCATCTGCAAGGCAGTTTGCACTCAAGAACTTGCAGGTAAAGCTTGAATACCCACACCTGGTATAGAGACCTCTTTCTTTTGGGGAAAGATTAATTACTTACAAGTTATTTTTAACTTGAGAGCACTGATAACAGAGACTATAGTGCAGTGCATTACTGTACCTGAGCCTAGCTTCTCAAAATTTCCATTTGCTACAGGATATTTGATATTCAGCAGCTATATCATTCTCAAATTGGAATTGGAAAACAAAATGGAAAATAGTTGTCATCGTGGTATGTTTGTATTGTGTGGTTTTGGGTAGGAAATCAAGTTTGGCAGCCATATGGAATGGTTTAATCCATTCTTTAACAAATATGTAATAGTTGCACAGTTAGTGTAACAGCGTGAGCACTCTCAGTTTGGACTTGAATCTAGCTGCTTGTTGTCAGGCATGCAGGGAGACATTCACAGCCATGTATAGCCAGATTTTTATTTCAGTATAAACCAACATACAGCTTTTAACACTTTCATATACTTTCCTGATACTGAATACAATTACTTTAAGTTCATGTAAACAAGGTCAGAAGTAAAAATTGGTGAATCATTACTGAAATGTTGACTGTATAGCGGAAAACTGGTAGCTTAATCATCTGAAAGTGTGTTTTCCCAGTACATCAGATTCAGTGACAAGCACCTTCAGAAGTTCCCCTGCTAGAGTTTCAGTTCCCCTCAGCTGGTTTGCAGGGCTCTGTTGTAACCCTGTACAATTGCAGAAATCCAATTTAAGATTAATGTTCCAAGAAGGGATTCTTTCTAAGTCATATAGTTTCTAATATGGCCCCACAAATAAATAGTTAGCTCAACTGGATGTGGGAAACTGAAATGGAGTGGATGCTTCACAGGATGGTTTTGCTAACACCTACTAAACCCCAACCAGGAGAAGGGTAGGTGGCAAAACAGGAATTTAATTATGCATGTGAGAGCCTACCGATTTCCAGATTTTCCTTTTCGCAATAGGACTAGAATTATCCCAAAAGCTTTGCATAATTGGCAGTGCCTGTGACTGCAGTCTGTCTGAAATTAAAATATTCACTATTTTAAACTCAAATGAAGAATAAAAAAAACAAGACAAACCCACCACCATTTACTTAAATGTCTTGCTTCTGTTTTCCTGTAGTACTAAGTTCCATGGCCCTGGCAAACATCACTAAACTTACTTGTTCCATTCCTTGATACAGGTTGCCAAACAATTGAAAGAACAACAAATGGTAATGCGAGGCCACAGAGAAACTTCCATGGTGCATGAACTAAACAGGTGAGCTCCACATTTCACAGGCTATTTATGCAGAGTGTTATGGGGAAATGTGATTTTTGCTTGACTTCTGTTTTCTGTGTCCTAGTACACGTATTCTTTCAGCTTCAATCTTACGTGCAAGAGACATAGAATATTGTCTAATTAATGGAAGAATTGTACAGTACACTATATTCTTGCCTTATGATTAGAGAATGTGAATTAAATTCTAGGGCTCTTGTTTTCTTTGGGTTTACTTTGTTTGTTTTCTCATTTTCATACTTTTTACAGGATAGCTAATAATGAGCAATTGACTGTACTTTACTACTTCAAACTGATGCACAAATATTTTTTTTACTGTAACTGTAATGCATTGTTATGTCTTGAGTACTGTTTTCATGCAGACCTTGCTTCTAAAACAAGTAGTTACTTAAATCTACTAGGTTCAGAGGTAGGCAGGGGTTGGTCTCACTAGGTTTTCTAATTGCAGGGTAGGACCTATGCACCCTTAATGTTATAGAAATGTCACCATAACTTTAGATTTCAGTCATCTGCAAATGGCTTGAAGAGCTAGTAGCCATAAGCTTAACCTTTCTGCTCAATTGCATGGTAACTGTAACACCTTCTCTTCTTAGCTTAGCATTTTTTGTACTTCCAGTCAGGTTGAGCTTTATATTTCCTTGCCTAGTGTACTGGCACTATTGCACATTCCTTATCTTGGATTGTAGACCCGTGAGAGAAGAGAGTAAATTCTGCCATTGACTTTTCTCCATTCATGTAGCTTCATTCTTGTTTTTGTTTAACCACCTGGTTAATTATCTCTGTAGTGTTCTTTCTGTTCTCAGTGGGATTTGTTTTCTAGAAAAAAAAAAACCCTCCCTCTGATTTAGATACTTTCAGTAGATCCCATATACCACTAAGTCTAGTGTATTTGTTAATACCCTGAGCAAAATCTAATGGCACCTTTTCTGTTGTCATTTTGTGTTTTACAGGTACATCCCTACAGCTGCTGCATTTGGTGGTCTCTGTATCGGTGCCCTCTCTGTGTTGGCAGACTTCCTTGGGGCAATTGGCTCTGGAACTGGAATTTTACTTGCAGTCACTATCATTTATCAATACTTTGAAATTTTTGTAAAGGAACAGAGTGAAGTTGGCAGTATGGGAGCTCTTCTTTTCTAAACCTAGCTTGTCACGGACCCAGGAAAGAGGGGAGGAACATTCTCAAAATATAGCCAGTCAGGTGAAAAGAAGTAACATAAACTTGATAACGTCATTCTATAGGAACACGTATTTTAATAATGTTTCCAAAGCGCATTCCCTTGTGGTCACACTTTTCTAGCATCCTGTTTGCATTTTATAAATTGATGTGCAAAAAAAAAAAATTTTTTTAAGAAAATTGTTTTTTAATGATGTGTTAGGAGAATGAGCTTTCTGAATCAGATTTAGTTCAATAACTCTTTAAACTTTTTGGAGCCCCTTTCAAATTTAGTACACCTAAAGCCTTTACAGGTTTTATTAAATAATCATGGGGAGGGTTGAATGTTTGGAAGGGATTTTTTTTCCATTTAACTTGTTTTTGCAGCTCCTTTGCAGTAGTGGTGAGAAAAATATCTCCCTCTAATGCTCGAGTTCCATAATTATGGTTGTAAGCACAAACAGTGTTTAATATGTTCAGTTTTGTGTTTGGGTTTTTTTCAGTATTGCAGATTTTAAAGGCAGTTGTTTCTTTTTACTAAACAATATCTCTAATTCTCTCTGTTTCGTCTTGTAATTACTATGCTAGACCTTGTCAGATGTCGAATATTGGCTTGAGACTGTTGTCAAGTTTCTATATAAGATAAGGAATGTGTTCTTTTCCCACCACCCCTCCTCCACAAGCAGAAAACTCAGGTCAATCTAGATTCTGCCAGGGTCTGTGCCTAAAAGTTGCAACTTTGAAACTTGATCATACCGGCAGCTTTGTAAAACCTTCCGATTAGTTGTCATTGCCATTAGCAGCAGCACTTCTAGTTCTGATCCTGGCTGAAGGAAATGGATGTTATGGCTGCTTAGATGCAAATCCGCTTGTGCTCTTTGCTAAAGCTAAGTTCTTGTCATTGATAATAAATTCTGGTCTTGTAGCAATCAGGATGTTACCTGGCTACTCATATCTAGTGAATTTTGAGTCTCATTACCACAAAGGAATGTGAAAAGAATGTATGTTACTTGTGTGTTTCTATACATCTAGATATGAGACCCTTGTCAGATAACTCTTGTAGTTGCTTATGTAGAAGGCTTTTCCATCCTATAATCTCATTGACCTTAATCATGCATATAAAAGTACTTTTTCAGAAGGTGTTGGGACTCCTCCTTTTTTTGAGGATCACACCTTCAAATTGGAGAAGTTACAGTAAAAGGCTTTAGTGGACCAGAATAATGCTTAATTTTCCATTTTAATTTAGATTGTCAGTACTAATCAGGTGCCTAGGACCAAATACAAATATTTGTGTACAAGTCTTGTAAATACACTTTTCCTCAATCAGTATTGGACACCATGGAATCCAGAATGAGGAGTTACAGTGTTGGAATGTTTCTCTGCACTGCATCAACACACCTTCTGTGCATTTTTTGCATGTTGGGCTGACAGTACGTGAATTACTGTTTCTGCTCGGAGTGATGGGACTCTGTTACGTACCCAAGGAGCACAGATGACATCCAGAGCCCTTGTTAATGCACTGAGCTTAAATACCAAATGTGTGAGAAATCTGCAAATTTGGAATGAGATATACCTGTCAATAGAAGTGAAACTCCCGGGGTGAAGATCACAATTGGAAAAGGAACAAAAGTTTTGGGTTAAAGTATCGGTGAAATGCTCACTACAACACATCCACTGTTATTTCACACTACATTCAATAATTTTTGTCTTTCATAAAGTACTAGTATGCCACAGCACAATTTTGGTGTGAAATAAAGGACAGTTAAAAAATTACTTTAACGGGAGAGGGAAGGAGCGTGGTGTGGTGGTTCTGCTTTGGGGATTTTTTTGTTTTTCTAAGAAGCCCAATACAAATTTTGTTTTGAAATAAAAAGGACTCCACTTTTGGGCACGCAGTTCTGGCTGGGCTGGAGCTGTACTTGTATTTTTGGTCATATCATCTCTTTGAACTGGTTGCAGTTTAGACCATTAGCTCTTCAGTGCCTAAGCAGCACTTGTTCTATGCATCTGTATTTTTGTTGTCTAGTGCTGGAATCTTTGTCTGTTATCAAGCAGCTATGTCCTCAAGGCAGGACCTGCTGATCATGCAGTGGATGTTCACAAAAAGAAATAATGCCTAAACAATCTGCTTTATAATGAAATAAAGTACATCTTTGGAGCTCATGCCTGTCTTTCAGTGCTTTGAATGCTGTTATAATTCTAACACTTGTAGAATAACCTTACCTGTCTAAGAGACTCGGAAAGTGATCCCTCTCAAATCAGAGGTTTAAAGTGTCAGTGTAAAATAAAGACAAATTGTATTTGCTTCTCAGTCTGCTCTCAACTGTAGGTTGCCAAAATAACAGAACTGTAACCATTCCTCTGGGCTTTCCTGTTCCAGAAGAGTTGCAGTTCAAAAGGCGCAGCACAAGTAAATACTGGGGGGGAAGGGGAGGGGGGTGAGGTAGTGATGCATCAGTTTAACAGAAGCTGTCTTTCCATATAAAATACAGTGCACATATTTTTGTAGCACAGTAGTAACAGGGTACTAATTGAAACAACAACACTCAAAGCTGATGATATTCCCGATATTATTTGAGTTTTTAAACTTCACTTGGAGTAAGGAAAAATTCTGTCTTCCTTCTGAATAGAAACACACTTAAAAGCAAATTCATTTAAAATACTGGTACTGGATGCAAGAAGTTTGGCCAAAATTTTTGATTGTATATGAAGTTGTTCTAAACAACAGGTTGGTTTCTCCCTTGTTTCATTTCTCCCCAGGAAACTTGCATTAATAGTAACTGTGATTGCTGTAGAAATACTATGTCCTCACACAGATGATCACAGAAGTAATTGAAGTTACTGTAGGTGCGATGAGTTGTCTGCAAGACAGCTCAGTGAAAAACCGACACAAGGGCAGAGTTTGAGATCCTGTTTCTGTGGGTAGTATTTTAAGTGCAAAATTCTTGGCATAGCCTTTTCTGCAGTGTAGATTTCATGGGAAAGCTTGTGCCATAGCACTTAAGTCCTGGGTGTTTGATTTTGTCCCCGTCACCATTATTCAGGAATCCTTAAAAATAATTAGTTTATTCTAGTTCACTGATTCCTGTAGCCTATCTCCACATGCTTTTGAGATGGTAAACAAAGGGAATTTTTTTTGTAATTCCTCAAACATTTTGTTTGGTTTTGGGTGTTTTTTATTAGGAAAAAAAATTCCTTTTGGCACTAAACTATAAAGGTTGTTGCTTTACTCTGTGAAATGTTTCATGGCTGTGCTCCTTTGATTTCTTCTGGGGATAACCCTGTCCTTGTACTGTAAACAAACTGATTTGTGAGATAGATTTCTCAGCCAGCTTTCAATAAAGGAGGAAGCCGAGTGGCCTAGTAAGTGCTTTTCTTAATTGTTCTCTCTTGCAGCAAGGAGTAATAAGCTTTAGGTGGTCTTCAATTTTACCATTGCTTTGGGGAGCTTTGTGCAGGTTTTTGTAAGCTGTTTGCTCACTGACATGGTGTGACACAACTGTCAGGTCCTCAATCAGCCCTCACTGCCCGGAATACTGAAACTGCTCCCGATGGATCTCTGCGTGCCGGACCAGCGTTCGAGTGCGCGTCTTTCCAAGGACACGGTGGCTGCAGGGTGTTGTCACCAGTGAAGACGTGTGCTTTCAGAAAAAGTGCAGGGCAGGGAGACCAATGACATTTCTGAAAGTCTGTTTCACTTGGTATGTGGCTTGGACAGCTTGCTGTCTCTCTTGCTGCTCTCTCTGCCAGCTTTCTGACATGAAACCCCAGCCTTCGCCGGCTTCCTGCCTAAAAAGGTCAGGATTTGAACTGCGGCCAGCGGCGAGCAGCGCTGCTGGCACCCTCCCAGCTGCACAGGGAGATGTGCAGGTGTTCAAACAATGCCTGCTTGTTAGGGGGGTCTGCGTCTGTGAAACACGGGCCCCTCCAGCTTCCCCAAACCTCCCCCAAGGGCAGGCACTGGCACACCGATGGGCATTGTTTGCCCGCCTGGTGGCAATGTTACACTGCAATTTAAGGCACCAAGTTCTCCAGTTTGGAAGAGAGCAGTGAAATGTGCATTAAATCTGTTCCAAATGTGTGTTCTTTCTTTTCCTTTGCTGCTATGCTGATGGGTGTCATACAATGGAAAAAGCTGGGAACAGAGTTCTCCAAGATTTATTTGCACTTCCCAGAGTCGGGGCCAGGATTGAGGTTGTTTTGAGCTGAAATGCTGAAAATTATCATCTCCTTTTAGAGAGTTTACAATATTTATAATATTTTCTAATATTTTTCAAGCATGCTAGGTGTGTCAAGGGACAGTCGCTGTTACAGCCGCTTAATCTGCTGAATATTGCTACACAATGTAAGCCTAGACTGAGACAGCCTATGGGATTGGAAAGAAGGCGAGAAAAGAAGCTTTTAAAAACAAAATCAATATTCTAAGCTGGGGACCTAATTAGTCAGCTAGACTTTAAACTGCTGTTTTATAATATGCTTCTGGATGGATCTGCTAAAATGGAAACTCTTCTGTGGGCCAGGCTCTAGCAATCCTTTGGCTATTGCCAACGTGCCGCTAGCCAAGCTGGCAGCGCTTGGCAGAAAGGAAATACCCTGACAACTGGCACCTCCTTTGGCAGTTGTATCAGAGGGGCTGGAGACTGAATGAGCACAGACATGATATACTTTGTCATCACAGAGTGGGCTGTCAAGGTCAGAGATGGAATGCCTGCTCTGTGATATTTCTCGTTGGAGAACAAGAAGACTGGGCCAGTCAATCTTCCAGCAATATGAATACCTGAGAGCTTAGAATAGAGGGAACAAATAAAATAGAAGAACAGTTAGGATATAAATTTTTAAAAAGCTGTTTCAGACATTTTTGTATTGCTTTAGAGAAAATCAGGATACATGGCACATATAAAATTCCAGATTCCCCTTTTTATATTTTAAGGCTAAAGTGGATGGTTCCAAAAATGGTGTGAGCACTGTTGGAGGAATATTAGCTATCTGAAATCTGAGATCAGTATTATCCACTTTAATCTTCAGCATGTCTGCAGCCATTTGATGTTCTTACAGCTCTGATGTGTCTCTTCTGTGTACCTGTGGTGTGAAGTTTATAAAAGAAAAAGGCAGCTCCAGACATCCAGGAGCATGAAACAGCGAGCAGAACATTTTGTGTGATTAACTTCACTATGGAAGTGTGAATTTTATTTTTGTTTAAATAGCTTTATCTTTTGGCAACATGAGAACAAGGAATTGTTGCTGCCCCTGGATTCCCAAAGGCTGCACAACTGTGCCTAATAC